TTATCTACTTGCACTTTGACGTGCTTTTGAACTGCTAGGTTGGCAGGAGCAGGGACCGAGCAACGGGAGCTCACCCCGTCGCAGGGATTCGAACCGCCGACCTTCTGATTGGCAAGTCCTAGGCTCTGTGGTTTAACCCACAGTCCACCTGCCTTTTCTTAGGATGACCCTATTTTCATCGGAGAAATGTTGGAGGGTACGGGAGTTATGCAACCCATGAGCCAAGGAGATAAGTAAACTATACAACCTTTAGAAGACATCTGAAGGCAGCTGTGTAAAGAGAAGGTTTTTTTAATGTTTTATTATGTTTTTATATATGTTGGAATCTGCCCAGAGTGGCTGGGGGAACCCAGTCAGATGGTCAGGGTATAAATAATAAAATTGTTGTTGTTGTTGAATAGGACGTCCCTATTTTCATCAGAGAAACATTGGAGGGTATGAGAAGAGGTCTTATCAGGAATGGAACCTTCTGTATTGGAACCCAAGACAGTACACATGTGGTTTTCTAGTCACCCATTCAGGCATTGATCAGACCCAGACCTCGCAAGGTCATGGCACTAGTGTGCCTTCAGACCATACATATTGAGATGAGAGAGGTTGCTTAGGAATAGGGTTCCAATAATCTACTTCTACGTAGTTAAAGCACTGTGGAATAGCTAAAAACCTAACATTTGATGGGCTACAATCTGGTCTTAGCATTAGTTTAACTGCCATGGCTTCATATCCTGGGCATTGTGGTTTGGTGATGGAGGTGAGAATTTCCTGACAGAGATCCTTGGTCCCACTGTCACAGTCCCTATCTTCCCAACAAAGAGGGAAATGATTAGTGAAATAAACATTTAAGTCAAACCAGGGAGATACTCAATGGCAGAAAAATCTCAATTCTCCCACAGCATCCCAAGGAACTAGAGAAAGCCCAGCTTGGTTTGGCTTCTAAACGTTGTTGTCACCTTAAAGTAAAATAAATGCGGTATTTTATCTCTCAGTGAGAACGGCCACCTTTTCTTTTTAAGAAGCAGTGGCTGTGTGCCTGTTAACAGCTGCAAAAGAGGCATAAATCACCAGGTGATGTTTTCTCCAGTATAGATGATAACTTGTCTACATTTGGTGCAGCTGTTAAAACGCTTACTTGTCTCCCTGAATTTTTTAAAAAAGTTTTCTACTCCAAATGCCTTCCTAGCCATGCATAAGGCTTCCAGTTTTGTTTTGTTTTGTTTTGTTTTCCCCTGGCAAGTCAACTACCTGATTAGCTTCCACCAGTAAACCTTTTCCTATGATTGTACTGTACCTTGATACCAGGAAATGCTTCACCTGTTAAATTTCTACTGTTAAAGGTGCACAACCTCTTCCCAAAAGAAGTTCGTAATCCCAGTGCTTTTTTTCTTTAAAAAAAATGTTTAGGGGTACTCTCATTTTCCTGCTCATATTGAAACACTGCCCCTCAATGAGGCCAAACTTAGATTCACAAAATGTTTAGGAGTATGCATACCCCAGGAAAAAAACACTGAGCAATCCCTATGCACACTTTCCAGGGATCACACACAAACACACGCTCTTTCTGAACACCCTCCAGAGATCAACTTGTCAGATGTAGCACTGCCAGTGGGGGGGGGCACAAAAACCAATCAGCCCAATTTTGGTGTTATGGTTCATAGAATGAATGAAGCAGAAATTCTCTGGCTACTCCCCAACACAACAACTACTAGTGCCTCCTTTCTCTTTAACACACTTGTGTGTGTCACACAGGTCTAGCAACACCACTGCCTGTGCCTGTTTTGGCTGATCAGGTAAAGCCCTGCCTCATTCCCAGGTGGAACAGGTGAGTCCTAAGTGGATGGGCGGAGCCAAACATAGCTGGGGTCATAAAAGAGGCAGGCAGCAAGGGCGGGTCTCAGGGAGATTCACTTGGATGCTGTTGTACAGGAGGAGTGGGTAGGTAGCTACCTGGGAACTATGTGCTTTCCTGTGTTTACTGTAGATGAGGAATAAAGGTTCTGGGCTTGGTTTGTGAAGGGAGTGTTGGGAAACTGTGTATGTGCAGTTACTCACACAGAGTCAGTTAAAGTTTGGCAGACAGCCAGAAGGCAATCTGAAGGAGTAGGTCTGCCTGGTTATAACAGAGACATGCAGACAGCTCCCTGATTGGTCAAGCTCTTTCAAGGGAGTGATAATTAATGGCCTACTAACTGGAATGTGTTAGTTCAGAGTTCAGGGTTCTGTGTGTCAGTGTAGGAGTTGTGAGTCGTGTCAGAGAGAGCTAGCAAAAGATCTGTGTTCTGTTCCTGTAAATAGTCCACTGTATATAAAAAACACCTAACTACAAGTTCCTGGTTCCTGCTTCCTCTATCCTGTCTGCAGCCAAGTCGCCAATTGCTTCTGTGGATTCTGCGTTTACTCTGCTAGGTCTGGCTAAGGTCCTGCAACTAGTCAGAAAGTTGCGAAACACCAAATAGGTTTTACCAATAGGGAGAGAGAAAGGTAGATGTTTTTTCTCTAGAGCCTTGCCTTTGGTCTGGAGCTGTGTTGTACAGTTAAGCGAGTCTGGGGTTGGTGGGTGACGTGTATAATGTGCCATGAGAGGAGAATGATTTTAATGCATAAATAGCTTTCTCTGGTAGGGCTGTTGGGTAGCATGAAGCAGATGAACTGGGTAGACTTGAGGATGTGGTGAAAGACCCTCACATCTGCACCAAACTCTTAAAGCCCTCTCCACTTTATAAAAAACAGTTCTGGTCTGTCCCTCTGCCTAGGAATCCTGGGAACTGTAGTTTAAGGGTGCTGAGAGAGAGCTGGTCCCTAGCCCACTTGCAGAGCTACTATTCCCAGCACTCTTAATAAACTACAGCTCCTAGAATTCTCTGGGGAAAGCCATGACTATTTAAAGAGGTATAAGAGGGCTTTCAATGTATGGTGTGGCCTAGGGCCAGTGTGGATGTAAAAGTGAAAAGCCTGCACAATGAACAAACATTTGCCTCTTAATGGACAGTTCTGTGCCTCCTGCTCCTGTAGGACCCAGCAGAAATAAGCAGGAGAAATACTTTCCAGTACAGCAAGCTTAGAAAACCTCCAACTGCTGCGCCCTAGCTGCTAAAAGCTAGCTTTCCTTCCCTTTTAACAAAATGGCAACCCTACATGGGTAAGAAAACTGTTTCAGAGACTCCGGGTTCCTGGTTTGTTGCTGTTAAATGTTTGTTGCTGTTCAGGAGTGTAGCAGCCAATGCTTTTCCTGATAGAGATGCAATGTGTTAAGGCAAAGATTTGCACACTGTAAACGGTTGTGCTATGCAGCACCGCATCTTTAGGGATGGGCTGGGGAGACCTGGGTGTGTTGGCAGCTGAGCTGTGAAATGAAGTGTGTTAGTATGTTGTTGCTGCTATTTCTTGACTGGGTGAAAATGGGTTTGGGGGGGTCCTGCAACGACAAGCAGTGGGCAGACGCACAACATAAGCACATTCAACGCACATTGAAAGCACATGACTTGTTATACTGGCTTGAAACCAACATAGTTATTGTCCAGTTTGGGTGTTCTACAGCTCCTATTTTGAAAATACGATGCTGGTGGTTCTTACCATTAAAAAATTAATAAGAAACTTTTAAAAAACACAACTTCCCTGTAAGAGTCCTTGCTTCCCTACCCCCTGACAGAACTGCACTTCCCAGCACCCTTAAACTCCAGTTCCCAGGCACTGGAGCCAACCCCTAGGGCATGGTTACCAGATTTTTTCCCAATGAATCCGGGGACACTTTTTTTTTTTATGTTCCATGGCTCTACTGTGCAAATGATCAAGCACAGCAGAAACTCAACCCGCTGTCCGTCTTGTCTACCATTAATTAAAAAACCCTGGCATGCCACAATTCTTTCCTTCCATTTAGCAAGGCAAGGTTCTTGTTGTCCGTAATCTCCATGTAGGCGAAGAGTTGTCTAATTGCACAGTGTACTAGGAAACATCTGGTGAAAGGGAAGGCAAGAGAATTCAAAATTTCCATATATCCCAGATGTTTTCCTAGCCTGGTCAAGTCCTGTTTCTTACGTACTTGCGGACTAAGCAAAGAGCCACCAGTGTCTCTGATTGGAAGGTTGGCCACTTTGCCCATCCACGCCTCCTTCAAGAATCTGTCTTTAAAATAATGTATGGTTACCAGATTTTTTTCAATGAATCCGGGGACACTTTTTTTTTTTTGAAGCTGAGTAGCAACAGGGAGCCAGTAGTGGGGATGGTGAGACAAAAGACCCTGGGCCCAGGCACACATGCATATTGTATAAAGGTGCAAAGCCCTTCTTTCACACCCTGTGAAACATAAATGTGCAGAGTTTTTTAAAAAACTGGGCAACGGCCTGCCACGCGCCCGTGACTCCCAAGCCTTCCCCGATCTCCTTCCCCCTTTGTTTTGACAGATCAGGGGAGGCTTGGGAGTCACGGGCAGGCAGGTGTTGCCCAGGAGGGGCCAGCCTGGTAGTGCAGTTGACTCTGGCTGGCTTCAGGAGCTGCTTGCTGCCATGGCGCAGGAAAAATGGCAGGCGCCATGGCAGCGAGCAGCTCCTGAAGCCAGCCAAAGCCAACTGCGCTACCAGGCTGGCTCCGAGCTGCTGAGGCTGCCGCTGCCACGTTTCCCGGGGACAGATTGTAAATCTGGGGACATTCCGGGGACGGAATTTGTTTGGGGACAGATTTGCAAATCCGGGGACTGTCCCCGGGAACGTCTGGTAACCCTATCCTAGGGGCCGAGGTCCCTTTGCCCCCCACCCAATAAAATATTAGAGGGGGCCGGAGGAGGCACCCAAAGTTGATGGACACTGTAATTCGAATGATGTTTGTGTGCCATGTCTTGGGGGGCTCCTCAATATTTTGTCCAAGTTGGCCCCCCTGTTCCCAATATTCTTTGGGGGAAGCGATGTGTATGGTGTGTCTCTGCCCAATGTTAAAGAGTTTTGCTCCAGGTACAATAAACGTCTTTTGCCTCTCTTGACACCCTGTCCACCTTCTTCCACAGCTGAGCCATGGCAACTCCGTTGAGGAAACCCACCCAGGCCTCTGGCCTGCGTTCCTCCCTGAACTCTGAGGAGTCGTCGCCGGCCCACGGTCCTCCCAGCCGCCGCCGCTCGGATGCCGGTTCCACCAGGGGCCCCCAGCTTCGCAAACAGGCCTCGGCCTCTTCCCTCCGCTCTGAGGGACAAGCTTGGTGCCGCCGCTCGGAATCCATCCCCGAACCAGACCCAATCCTGCTCTCTCTGGTGCAGGCCTTGGCCCACACAGGCATCCCGCTTTCTGAGGCAGGCTTCTTCGAGGCTCTCATTACACGGCCGCTGGGCGTGAGGCGCTCGCTGCCATCAATGGCCCAGCTCCACCGCAGCGTCCTCCCGGCCTTGCGGCGGCGCCACAAGTCGGGTCTCCGTCAGGTTCTCCACCGCCGCGATACTTTTGTCTTCCTTCATGAGGCGACGACAGGGGACGGGCGGGCCATCCTTGGCATCTCCGTCCTGCCTCTCGACAGGCCTGGGCAGTCTCCGCTGCTCCTGGGCATGGAGTTCTTGGAGCAGCTGAGCCACCATTCGGTGGCCCGGGCCGTCACAGGTGTTTTGAGCGAAGGGCACGTCTTGTCCCACAGGGTGCTGGCTGTGGTCACTTCTGGGAATGCCCACATGATCCAAGCCTTTGCTGCCAACGGGATTCTGGGCACGGTGTTGCCCACTGCCCTTCACATCCCCTGCCTGGCGCACCAGCTGGAGCTGGTGATGGAGCTGTGGCCAGATAAGTTGGAAAGGCTGGTTTCTGTGCTGCACCTCCTGGAGGATACGTTCGGGCGGCAGGCTGCCCTACGCCACCGTTATGAGCTGTTTCTGAGAGAGCGCGGCCTGGCACTCTCCCTGCCCGTTCCCAGTAGGTGGACTGGGCCAGAGGCTTGGCTGGAGAAGGCCAGCGTCATCGCAGAACATCTCCCCATCCTGATGGAGTTCGTGGCAGCTGATGAAGAAGAGGGTGCCGCCATGGCCAAACTACAGGCGCTCCTCGGGTCAGGCAGTGAGGAGTTGGTGGCGGAGGCCACCTTTGCAGCGGAGCATGGGGCAGTCCTCCTGAGCACGGCGCAGTTCCTGCACAAGTTGGGGGAGCCATTAGCGCACCGGGTCTATGGCGAGCTGGAGGCCTTGCGCATTGGCTTCTCCTACCACCTGGACACGGGGTTTGGGCCAAACACCAGGAGGCAGCTGGCCCTGTGCCCGCCTCGTCTGGCATCGCAGTTCCGCGAGGTCCTGGCTTGCAGCCTCACCCGCCTGGAGCACATGCTCAGCTCTCACCCTGCGGTGCCCACGTTGAAGGCCGTGCGGGCCCTTGATCCCAAGCAGGTGGGCGCTGTGGGCTGGAGCCAGCTGCAGCAGGAGCAGGCCATCCCTGGGCTGGCAGAGGTGGCAGAGGTGGAGTGGTTCCGCTACCAGCAGCTGGCGCAGGCGGCTCCTGCAAATGTCTCCCTGTCTCAGTGGTGGGAGGCGCAATCTGAGCAGCTCCCCACCCTGAGCGCCCTGGCCCAACGGTACCTCTGGCTGCCACTCTCCATGCCCAAGTCCCCTTTCCTCCCAGGAGACGTACTGAGTGGAGCAGGTGTCGAGGAGGGTTTCACAGACGAGTGTGTTTGCCTGTGGTGCATGCTCAGGTATAACCGCAACCTCTGTTAGCTGGCGACTTCCACCTGTGTCCAATTCTTGCCACTGACCTTGAGTCCCTTTTTGAGCAGCATTGAGAACCCAATTCACAGCTACCCAATTTCACCGGTAGAGTCACAGCCTCTCTTTTTTCCCCCTCTCTCTCTCATATCCATGGAGCACTTGACTTGTTAACTAGAACAGAAGCCACAATCTTGTACGGCAATAAAGCATTTAAGATCTGCATTGAAATGTTTTGTCCTCCATGCTTTCTCTAAGGAGATGGTAGGAGCATCTAGTATCTGGGATGCAATGTGGGAAACTTTGAGCATTCTCAGCAAGAGGTTGGCACAGAAGTCCGTCCCAAAGCGGGCCCTGATCCAGATCTCCCAGGAGCAATGCCACGTACCCATCGAGGAGGGTAAAAGGTCCTCAGATTTTCCCAGTGCAATCAGAGTCATAAATGGGTAGAGTTGGAAGGGACCCTGAGAGTCATTAGTCAAGAGTGTAGCTCAGCCTAATCCCGAAATTTCATGAATGTATCTAGCCAGTTTGACTTTGAGGTACATCTAGCTATGGGCATATGGGCAGGAGAAAGAGTTGCTCCAGCGTCCATATTTGGGGGGGGGTGTCTTGAGCCCACGGCTCCCATCTTTGCTTACCTGCTTCCTCTGCTAAAAAGTAAAATTGCATTTAAAGCAGCCTGAACACTGCCAAAGAAGTATTATCAGTGGGAGACAATTAAATCATATGCAGAATTTTAAGAACCAAAAATCTAGGTATCCAAAAGAATTTTTAAAAATCCTCCCAAATTTGGATTTATTGCAACAAGGGGAAAACACTGGAATGTGTGGGGGTAATGATCTCTTGATGCAAGGTCCTATAACCTCTCGACAAGCTTTGTGCAAAGATTTTTTCTTTCTCTTTTCCCCCCATTGCTGTTCATTTTTGGTAATCATGCTGACAACATCATTAAAATTGGTTGGTTTGGGTTTTTTTAAAGTCATCCAGCTTATTGGAACAGCACAATATTCTTCCCTTTTTTATCACCTTCTACCAGCCGAAGGGAGGTTCCTTCTCTCTCTACCCTGCTTCCAACTAAGAAGCTGCTTCAGTTGCCAGCTGACCTGGGCCTATGGAGCTCAAAGGGAAGATTCCTGGTCACATCCATCGGCCAGGGGAGTAAGCGGACTCTGTGTGTGTGTGTGTGTGTGTGTGTGTGTGTGTGTGTGTGTCCCTGTCCCTGTGCGTAAATTGTAGAATTTTGTATTACCTCCTCCCAAGTCTTCGTTCTTATCCTCTGGTAGCAAGTCAGGATATACACCTGCAAAATAAAGGAATAAATAGCATCTTACTTCACCACTGCTGTTCCTGTGCTGGCCTGGATGTAGTCATTGTATATTGACGCAGCTGCTCAATTTGGGGGGGACGGGGTGGCAGCTGTCATTCTTACTTCCCTGCCAGATGCAGAATGTATTTTTGTTTTTTTAAAAAGAATAAAGCTTTCTCTCTGAGTGGCATGCTTAGTTCAAAGATAAAAGGATAATTAGGCAAGGGCGAAACTAGGCTTTACTTCATCTGGGTCAGGGACCCAGTTTGGCACCCCCTTCCTTGCACACACATTAGTGTAAAAAAAAGGTAAAGGACCCCTGGATGGTTAAGGCCAGTCAAAGGCGACTATGGGGTTGCGGCACTCATCTTGCTTTCAGGTCGAGGGAGCTGGCGTTTGTCCACAGACAGCTTTCCAGGTCATGTGGCCAGCATGACTAAACTGCTTCTGGCGCAACGGAACACCATGACGGAAACCAGAGTGCACGGAAATGCCGTTTACCTTCCTGCCGCAGCAGTACCTATTTATCTACTTGCACTGGTATGCTTTCAAACGGCTAGGTTGGCAGAAACTGGGATAGAGCAACAGCAGCTCACCCCTTCGTGTGGATTTGAACTGCCGACCTTCTGATCAGCAAGCCCAAGAGGCTCAGTGGTTTAGACCACAGCGCCAACCACGTCTCGCTCACATTTGTGTACACACATGTGCATACCCATGTGTTCTACCTGTGATTGCCATATCCCTTGAAAATTATCTGCTGAATCTATAAATCTCCTCCACTTAAAAGCCTTGTGACTGAGGTGAGATACAGATTTTTGACCAGTGGTCTTCGACCTGTGATAGCCCTTTCATACATGTTAACCATCACTTGCCACTAATCAAGAACGTGCCAGCTACATGTGTTATCTTCAAGTGCTGAACAAGGTCTGCATGAACCAGCCCTCTGGTCCCTGAAGCGCCACTAATTCTATGGACTTACCTGCAACTAAGAGCAGGAAAGTTGCTAGGAACAGAATCCTGGCCATCTTGAAGGGGAGCAGGAGTTTCTCTAGCTCTCTGCATCAATTCCATTTCTTTATATACGCACTGCACGCAATGGTTGCAGCAACACCCTCTGACATTAAGCATTTAATTGCATCATTTCTGGAAGGTCGTCTCTCTGCATCGCTGCCTCTTATTTCCATCTGCTCACCTGGCAAATGGTCTATAATCCTGTGATGTTCCCTGGCATGACGGACAATGGTTTCAGGTGTTGCAGCAGGTACAAACTGTTCATTAAAAACAAATCATAGCAGGGTCATTGGCCCTCTGGCAGGACAGCTTGCTCAAAGGTCAGTTATTTTGGATCAGGTGGTAAATTATTCCTTGTTTCTCTGGCGGATCCCCAAGCCATAGTAATTAACGGATGCCAGTTCTAGGTTCCATATGTGTGGCACAGTGATTTAATTACGATAATTACCCTTGGCTTCTGCCTTACCTCGGGGTATGGGTTCAAATCCACCTTTCAGCTGATGTGAGACAAATCGTAGCTTGCAGGTGTGTGCATAATACCTCTGGTATCTCCAGTATAAAGATATATATATGAAGCCACACTGCTAGTCCCTGAGCCAGAAGGGGGGAACCTGTGGCTCCCCAGCTATTGCTGAACTACAACTCCCCTCATCCCTCACTATTGGCCATGCTGACTGGGAGCATCTGAAGAGTCAAAGGTTCCCCATGCTTGCCCTAAGCCTAGTATTGTCCCTTCTGACTCGGGGGTCTTTCTCATTCCTGCTACGTGAGCTCCTTTTAAGATTTAAGGGCTGAAATTTGGACCTTCTATGGGACGCGGGTGGCGCTGTGGGTAAAACCTCAGTGCCTCGGACTTGCCGATCACATGGTCGGCGGTTTGAATCCCCGCGGCGGGGTGCGCTCCCACTGCTCGGTCCCAGCGCCTGCCAACCTAGCAGTTCGAAAGCACCCCCGGGTGCAAGTAGATAAATAGGGACCGCTTACTAGCGGGAAGGTAAACGGCGTTTCCATGTGTGCTGCGCTGGCTTGCCAGAGCAGCTTTGTCACGCTGGCCACGTGACCCGGAAGTGTCTCCGGACAGCGCTGGCTCCCGGCCTTTAGAGTGAGATGAGCACACAACCCTAGAGTCTGTCAAGACTGGCCCATATGGGCAGGGGTACCTTTACCTTTACCTATGTGCAAAAAAGGCCCGTATAGTAAAAGCTATGGTTTTCCCAGTAGTGATGTATGGAAGTGAGAGCTGGACCATCAAGAAGGCTGATCGCCGAAGAATGGATGCTTTTGAATTATGGTGCTGGAGAAGACTCTTGAGAGTCCCATGGACTGCAAGAAGATCAAATGTATCCATTCTTAAGGAGATCAGCCCTGAGTGCTCACTGGAAGGACAGATCGTGAAGCTGAGGCTCCAATACTTTGGCTACCTCATGAGAAGAGAAGACTCCCTGGAAAAGACTCTGATGCTGGGAAAGATGGAGGGCACAAGGAGAAGAGGACGACAGAGGACGAGATGGTTGGACAGTGTTATCGAAGCTACAAACATGAGTCTGACCAAACTGTGGGAGGCAGTGGAAGACAGGAGGGCCTGGCGTGCTCTGGTCCATGGGGTCACGAAGAGTCGGACACGACTAAACGACTAAACAACAACAACAAAATGCTCTCAGCCCAAAAGATACTAATGTGCATATCTCCGACTCCTTTTGCTAGCGCAAAATGTTCCTTGCACCAGCCTTTTAAGTTTTGGCTGGGCAGGTACCCAGATCCTTTGCTATTTTGCAAAGGGACACCACCTGGCTACAATTCAGTCTTGCCAAATGTTAAAGGTAATGCATGCCTAATGAACCGAGATACTTTAAATAATCCATCGCTATGTGATTTAATGCTCTGGTGAACAGATCACTTTTATCTTGATAACCTAATCAAAGCAGTACATTTTTTTATATAAAAAAAAACAGGCACTGTGTATTGAGAAAGTTGGGAGCGTCACAGAAAATGAGAGTTTATGATGCCTGCTGGTAGAAGGAAAGGAGAAGTGGGTGGAGTCAGGAATTTGCCAGCATGGACTCATTGTAATCGTCATGGCGTTTTTTGGAGGAACTGTGAATCTTTTAGATGAACTGTAAAACTTTCCGCTCTGAGCTGGCTTTCAGTGGCCAAGGTTAAGTAACTTGGGTGGTCATTTTCATTTGACTGGGGCGTGTGTTTTAACTCTTCCCTGTTTATAGGTGGGGTAGGCAGTTCTGCAGTGGTTCCATATGTTGCACAACACTCCGATCTCTGAGCAGTGGGAGATGCCAGGAGCTTAATCCAGGGCTCATATCTCCTTTGGAATAAGACACAGTGGAGCCTGGTGTCTGTACGATATATGGTTTATTTGCACATATATACAACCTGGCGCTGTGGGTTTAACCACAGAGCCTAGGGCTTGCTGATCAGAAGGTCGGCAGTTCGAATCCCCGCGACGGGGTGAGCTCCTGTTGCTCGGTCCCTGCTCCTGCCAACCTAGCAGTTCAAAAGCACAAAGTGCAAGTAGATAAATAGGTACCGCTCCGGCGGGAAGGTAAACGGCGTTTCCGTGTGCTGCTCTGGTTTGCCAGAAGCGGCTTAGTCATGCTGGCCACATGACCCGGAAGCTGTACGCTGGCTCCCTCGGCCAATAACGCGAGATGAGCGCCGCAACCCGAGTCGTCCATGA